AATGTACCTAAATTTTCAAAATTGGTTCCCAAAAATGTACTAAAATAGTGTAACATTGCAGAAATCGGTGGATATGTAAAGTAATTTAAAATACTAAATTTGATAGCAATTTTATATTTCCTTTTTTTACAAATTCATGTTTTTTTAAAATGTTTATTATCATCTACTATGTTATCTTCCTCCTCATTTTTATGTTTTGAAACTTCAACTTTTAAATCCATTCTGAGAACATATTGAACAACTTTTTTCAAAACCCAATCATTTGATTTATTCCACCCTTTAAACTCTCTTCTGGTGGTTGTCACATATTTTTGATAAGAAAAGTCTTCAAATTTATCTTTTGGAACAACAAAATACAAATAAATCTTATGATCTGTATGGAGATATTCATGTAACTCTTTAAGACCATTCACCTAATATGATATATACAAATTAGTCACAATAAAAAAGATCAAAGTTCTGTTATCATTCTCTGTCTAACCTTAATTGGGTTTGTAATTGTTCATGGACCAATTCTTCAAACCACTTGCCATGTATTAAACTAGCATCTGAAAAAAAGGCACCAGCTTCAATTAGATGAATAATTTCTATCTGGCTGTTAAATGCATGTTTGTGATATACAGTGTGTTTAAAAAAAAACCGGAATTGTTAATTTTGTCACTACAACACAATGGTCATATTGAATGATATGAAAAATATCTCTTTTAAAAGCTTAAAAACGGTTGATTTTATTAAAAAAATTTTAATATGGTATTTGTTCACCATTTTTTTGTATTACAAGCTCACATCAATTTTGCATAGAATTTACTAAATTGATTAGAATATTTTGCCATTCCTCTACCATAAATCGTTCTAATTCTTCACAATTTCGTGGCATCCTTCTCTCAATGTTTGTTTTAACAATACTCCATAAATTTTCAATAGGGTTCAAATCTGGGCTATTAGATGGCCAATTTATAACATTTGTGACATTTTCTGCAAGAAAAGACCTTGCAAGGTGACTTGTATGCTTGGGGTCATTGTCTTGCTGAAATCTCCATTCATCCCCAAGCATTTCTTCAATTTGTGTAATGTGCCCGTTAAGTATTTCTACATAAAATGAAGCATCCATGATTTGTTTAAAACAAAAAAGGTTTGTTTTACCTTCTATGCAAAAACCACCCCATGCATGAATTTTGGTATGATCTTTTGGCATTCTTCAAACTGGCCTTTTGTTCTTATACCAATGTTCTACAGTATTCCTGAATAATAAAAATGATGTTTCATCAGTAAATAATGTTTTATTCCAATCATCATTAAGATGTTGTTGTGCCCATTGTACATGGTTTTCTTTGTGAACAACTGTCAACATTGGCGTAGCTATTGGCAAAGCTTTTTTATAACCCTTTTCATATATGTGTCTAAGAATTGTTGAATAAAACACTTGTACATAGTTTATTGATAACTTTGTTGCCAATTTTCTAGTTGAAACTGATGTATCTCTGTGTCGTCGGAGGAGGGATATGTATCGACCGTTGGTCGAATCCCTCGAGGTATCGCCCCTTCGTGGCTCAGATAGCAAA